CAAGGACTGTGTCATGTGTACAAGGACTGTGTCATGTGTACAAGGACTGTGTCATGTGTACAAGGACTGTGTCATGTGTACAAGGACTGTGTCATGTGTACAAGGACTGTGTCATGTGTACAAGGACTGTGTCATGTGTACAAGGACTGTGTCATGTGTACAAGGACTGTGTCATGTGTACAAGGACTGTGTCATGTGTACAAGGACTGTGTCATGTGTACAAGGACTGTGTCATGTGTACAAGGACTGTGTCATGTGTACAAGGACTGTGTCATGTGTACAAGGACTGTGTCATGTGTACAAGGACTGTGTCATGTGTACAAGGACTGTGTCATGTGTACAAGGACTGTGTCATGTGTACAAGGACTGTGTCATGTGTACAAGGACTGTGTCATGTGTACAAGGACTGTGTCATGTGTACAAGGACTGTGTCATGTGTAGATAAAACTTTATAAAGGACTATTTGACCCTCTTTATTGTACAGTTTTTGTTTCTTTGCAGGTACTGCAGTCCTGAGTACACCTTCCCGCCGCAGCAGGAGGCGGTGCAGTTTGCTGTAAATACGGCTTTTGAGATGATGACGCTCTATCCACGCACGCTGGTGGTTTGTGGGACCTATTCTGTCGGGAAGGAGAAAGTCTTCCTCGGTGAGAAGGTTTTGCCTCTGGCTGACGTTTCCTATGGCTTTCATTGCAGCTTGTACTCAATAAGTCTCCTGCCTTCTGTCTGCAGCTATCGCCGATGTTCTAGGCTGTAAGGTGTGCATGTCCCCGGACAAATACAAGACCATGCAATGTCTGGAGTCTGATGAGATCCGCGCCCTCGTCACCGCAGACTGGCAAAGCTCCGGACTGCATGTGCTTCCCATGATGCAGGTGAACTTTAAGGTGAGATGACGCACTAGGACTCAAAGCTGAACCCCGGCCTTTCCCTTTCTTGCAGTGTAACCCCTTTGAAGCTGCAGCAGCCATATTGGGCCCCCTTCATTTCCTGTCAGAATACTTTCAGTCATTGATCAATCCTTTCTCTCCTCCTGATCCATATAGTCACTGGGCCACCTCTTGGCTATTTGCTTTCTCTGCCATCGTTCAGTTTTGCTCTTCGTTATATGATGTTTAGGGATGATGTCAGTCACCCTACTGCTGTTCTGAGCATTATATGAAAGATGTCATTCCTGGCATTCGTTTAGACATGCATCCTTGCTGACCACTAGGTGCTGTTGACTATTAGCCCTCGTTCACACCTGAACGTTTTGTAGCGCGTTCTACGCTCGACGAACGCTCTACAAAACGCTCAAACATGAAAATCCCATTGTATTCAATGGGTCTGGTTCACACCTCGGCGTATTTCAGCCCGTCCCTAACGCGCTACAAAACGGCCCACGCCTGAAAAGGTACAGGTACTGCTTTGGGCCGTTTTTGTTGCGCGTTTCCATTGGGATACAGCCAAGTAGCCCTCGGAAACGCGTGTTTGTCGCGCGATTTTTTTTTACAGCTAATCGCGGTAAAAAAACGCGCGACGACCGCGCATATGCAATACGCCTAGGTGTGAACCAAGGCTTAGGGTTCGTTCACACCAGTTGCAGTGCATTCCGGAAACAAGGAATTACATTTTTTCCCCAATTGCTTCTTACTTCTGGGCTTTCTGGGTCTTACTTCTGGGCTTTCTGGGTCTTACTTCTGGGCTTTGCTTCACAGGATGTTTTGAGTTTAGTGGGGGGGGAGGGGAGGGGGTTGGCTCCTGTAAAAGTCACAGTACCCTACCACCAGCGTTATATAGAAGCATATGCCTGTCACCCCTCTAGACAGGCATGCTCCTCCCCAACTGCCCACTGGTTGCTGCAGACTTCAGCTGTTCAATCAGCTTAAGACCCACCCAAAATATTTAATTGGGGAAAAAGGAAAAAATGTAATTAAGCGCTGAATACTGAAAAATGGCCTGGATGGGAAGGGGGTGTAACACCGCGGATGTCAACTGGTTAATCAGGGCGGGGGGAGGGGAATAGCATATTATTTGCATATATTACACATCAGGTTTAACCACACATATAGTAAATCCAGATCTCAGTTGGTTGTTGGTGTCTGGAGGATGATCTGTATTCTGCACCCTAAATCGATTTCCCCTTGTTCACTTGCAGGGTCTTGGTGCCCACCTCAGTAAATTTGCAGGAAAGTACGACCGCGTCCTGGCCTTCAAACCTACAGGGTGGACGTATTCTGACGGCTGCAGCTCGGTGGGTGATATCAGGCCTCAAATCCGGGGCAAAATCACAATTTATGGTAAGTTTTTCTAGTTTTCTTTCAGTAAACAACATGGCCAAAAATAAACGTACTATTATTTTGCTATTAATGACAACAGAAGTCCTGACCCGATGCTGATCAGAACTTTTGAGCTTCCTGGCTTTAAGGATCTGCATACATGGTCCAGGTCAGTGACGGTGATGAGAAGTACTGAAACCAGAGTCGGCATAACATCCGGCTATGCAGCATTTCTAGACTGTGACATATAAAGGACCCGGAATTTCACCAATCAAAGGTTCACTTTAAGGTGCGTGTATAGCCAAAGAAAATGGTTTGGGTCTAGAGGCTTTAAAAGAGAACTATGAGGTCAGTGTTTTTCCCCATAGTTCTCTTAAGGGGTCACGGGAGGACGCAAACTAGCGTCCTCCCGTCACCCTAAGCTCAGTATATGGCGGGCTACAGCTCACGGTATACTAAGACCGCCGCAGCCAGGATTACTGTCGAGATCCGCCCAGCTGCGTGAGTGACAGCTGGCTCTGCCTATCTAGAGGCAGAGCCAGCTGTACCCTCCCCCGTCCGATGCGCCAGTCAGCGCTGCAGGATCTGAAGGGAGGTGGGGGGAATCGCTGCAGGGAGCCGTGACTGACAGCCACCGCTCTCTGCAGGTAGATGAAAAGGTATCAGTCCGACTAGTCGCAGCTTTTCGATTAATCGTTACGTGATGGTTTTGTCTCTCTCGCATACCGTTGATGTCCTTCGTCTCCGTGGCCAGGTATCCCATACAGCGAGCACAGCAGTTATCTGGAGATGAAGAGATTTGTACAGTTCACCAAACCGCAGAAAATTATCCCAACCGTGAACGTCGGCATCTGGCAAGCTCGCGCCGCCATGGAAAAATACTTTGCCGAATGGCTTTCGGAAGCCAGGTTCAAATGAGCGACTCGGTTGACCTTGAGGCCGTGCAAAGGGGGGGGCGGGACGACGACAGCAGCGGCATGCAAAATGCAATAAGCCTCAGCAGCCGGAAATGTCAGTATTGAAGTCAAATTTGAGATGACGTCTCCGCTGTTGCTATGGGTCAGGCACTTTACACATTGTACTTTGTTCTGTGTCACGGGTTACGACCTCTGTCCATGCACTTTTTTTTCTCCTAATTGGGGCATATGTGTTTATACAGGTGAAACTCGAATAATTAGAATATCGTGC